ACTTGAATAGAGTAATGGAAGTTAAATGATAAATGCCTTACTTTAGGGAACTTGCAAATTGTTTTTCTATTTTAACGTTTTGATTACAAGGGACTAGTAATAAGCTGGTTGGGGGATGTGATTATTACTTAAAAGTATATTTTTATCAAGGTTTTATATCATCATTTTGCACTTAAAGTATCAATAACTCCTTAACTAGAGCATGTTTTATAATAACAAGTCTGATAATATAAGATACCTTTAATTTATGGTAAATGATCACTTTAAATACAGGTATTCTCACAATTCAAAGGATTGATTGTTGTGATTAACTATTGGAAGTGAAAGGACAGAGAAAAGACTAAGCTTACGAAGAAGATGTTGATTCACTTCAAATTCAAACACTATTCGGTCATCAGATCATATCTAGAGCTATAGATCTTTGATTTCATATTAATTTATATGGATGAAAAGATAAGAAATAGGCCTACAACTTTCATAGGTATGGAAAGACCTAAATTTGCCATTTTCAAATTCAAAGTTTGGCCATAAAAAAGAAGTCTAAATCTGTCTTACAATCCAACCCAAATACGACTCAGAATTTTACCCATAAGTGGAGTTCTAGAAGTCCAAATGATCTGAAATTTGGTGGGCACAAGGAAAAGACAATTTCCAACAATTTTCATGAAGAACACTTTGCTAAATTAAGATTACATCAATGTCAATTTAGTCAGCCAAAGCGCTTGAGTGATGCTGTCCACCAAGTCCACTAATCAATAATTGGCCACTACATCAATTATCAATTACCAAATGAATAGTTTTGAAATTTAACCTATAAAAGAAGGTATTTGTCATTCATTTAGGCATCTTGTTTTCTATATTAAGATCATATTCTTACTCTCTCTCTTTATATTTTTTGTAATGCTTAAGTTTGCTTTCATTAATCTCTTGTTCATGTTTTTCATTTCCTTTACTATACTTAGTTAACTTATATCATGTTTATATTCTTATATTGTTTCTTTAAGTTTTTCTTCTTCACGTTTACTTAGTTAACTTATAACATGTTTATGTTCTTATATTGTTTCTTTAAGTTTTTCTTCTTCATAATATCTAGTTAAGTTAATTATATCAAGGTGAAATGTTTCACTAATGGTGTTAGGATAAGTATAATATAAACTCAATATGGACTTCAATGCTTATATCCTAAACAACTTGCTATTAACATGTCTTATTATTTTTATCTTATTAATTCTTAATACCTTACTTATTAAATGGTTAATATAGATTTATGTTGTATAATACTTGGTATATTAAATACTTGATCTTTCATAGTCTTCAGCCGATATCGTTATTATGAGAGGAACTTGATTTGTTGTTAACATAAGTTAGCATCATGAATACTTGATAAAATTTATAAGTATGGTGTTATGTAAATAAGATGATTAATAAGATCATGTTGATAATTAATAAAGAGTTCATACCTTACTTATCTCTAATACTATTAGTGTATCCTCTAACCTTGACATTTGTTTTTATCATTGTATAATCTTCACATTAATCTTTCATCTCAAAGTCCTCTATAACTTATCTTCACCACCACCACTACCATCATTGTTATTGTTGTTGTTGTTGTTGTTGTTGTTGTTATTTATAATTTATATAGATAACTTCTCTGTAGTTCGACCCCGATCTTACCGGGTTATTTATTACTTTGACACTCTTGTACTTAGGATACGACATCAACTCTTTGATCGTGTCATAAATCTTGGATTTCAGTTTGGTTTAGATGGTTAAAAAGCTAAGACATGGGCCTAAAACATTTTGGGGAGTCCAAAACTCAATTCTGCTGTTTGGAAGTCCAAATCTTAACATCAAAATAGAAGTTTGAATCTATCATGTAGCCTAGACACTGTTTAGTATTCAGCCCATATCTCAAGTTTTAGAAGTTCAAATGAATTCATCATATCTCAAGTTGTAGAAGTTCAAATGAGCTCATTCTTTTTTTGTTGGAAAGCTGAGATAAATGCCTAAAACTTTTATGAAGACTATTTGTTCAAATTCTAATGTTAGCAATGATGTTTTGTTTAGACATGAAGATATAAGTTATCAACAAGTCAAGAGTCACATACTCAATAATTAGCTATCAAATCAATAGTTTTAATTTTTTAACTATAAAGAGGTATTTTCCGTATATTTAGACATGATTTTCAGATCAAGATCATATTCTTGCTTTTTTTCTTTGTATTTTTGTAATGTTTAAGTTTTGTTTTTATTAATCTCTTATTTATGGTTTTTATTATAACTATATTCTTATCTTGTTTATTTATGTTTCTCTTTTTCATTATGTTTAGTTAAGTTTATTATGTTAAGGTGAAAAGGTTTTACTAATGGTGTAAGAATAAGTATGGTGTAAACTTAACATGGACTTTAATGTTTGATACCAACATATTTTGTATTTGTTATCTTATTCACTATTAATACTTTGTTTGTTAAATGATTAATTTAAATTTATGTTGTATAACACTTGGTACAATAAATGCTTAACCCTTTCATAGCCTACTGTATGGTTGAACCAATACATGGGCTATGAAAGAAATGTAATTTGTTGTTAATATAAATTAATATCATGAATACCTGATAACATTTACAAGTATTAGCATTGTTCGAATAAGATAACTAATGTAATCATGTTAACAATTTATAATCCGATTGAAACCTCCTTTGTATGAAGTTTCCAGTTGAGTAATAAAAAGAGTTTATACTATACTTATTTGAAATCTCATTAGTGGATCCTGTAACCTTGATAATTGTTTTATCTTTGTAATCTTTACATTAATATCTCATTTTAATAGTTTTCTTCAAGTCCTTTTCATTTATTGTTTATAATTTTATATAGTTCACTTCCTTGTGGTTCAACCCTATTCTTGCGGGATTATTTATTACTTCGACACTCCTGTATTTGGGTTAAGATATCAATTTTTTAATCGTGTCATATGCATATATTAATCTTTAAAAATAAAAACAATGTTGATGAGTTTAGGTTGGTGTTATATTTTTTATCAAGCTTATGTTTTAACATCTAAGTCAATGTGTCTTTTAGTTTTTAGGACCAACATAGACCTAGCATATTTCAAATTTAAAATCAGTTTCATAGTAAGTCAATAAGTCTCTTTAAAGTATGAATCAACATGTATTGAGCATTGTATTATGTTCAAAATTTATTTTTATAGAAAGAAATAATAAAAAAGGGATTAAAAAATATAAATAAATAGATAAATATTATGTTGTCAAATTTAAAATCTGTTGAAACATTTTTTTTTAGACCACGAGAATTCTATAGTAATCTCATTGATACAAATTATCATCCCCAAATTCAAGTCAACACAATTTATAAGGATGGAATTAAAAAAAAAAAGAGCAAAAAGATTTCCAAGTACCACGACACAAAAAAAAAGAGAGAGAGAGAAGAGAATATTATTGAAATCCATAGTGTTTTCTTTAATAATGTATAGTAAAATCAACATTAGCCAAAATTTCAAAAATAATCAATTTGAATTAATGGCAATATAGATTACCTTGATTGTGGACTCGTTCTTTATTGTGGGCCTGTTTTATATTTTGCATATAAAATATATGTTCATGTGCCACAAAAGTATTTTAGAAAAGAAAGATAAATATATGACTTGGATCATAGACCTAACTGGGTTAAATAAACTGTTTTTATTTTAATTAGATGATAAAAAAGACAACAACAACAAATAGACCAAATTAACAAAAAAATAATCACGATAACCTAAAAACAATATATATTTTGTTTTAAATAAATGTTATAGCTCAATTCTCAGTCTATTAAATTTAGAAGAAATAAATTAGGTAAAAAAATGACTTAAAAATTTATCTAAGTCTACTGAAGCTAGCATGACAAACTTGTAAACCTAGTAATTAAGGTCGAGTCAATTCAGGTTATCCCACCAAACTCACTGCCTAAATTATAAAATTAGGATAACTTAATAGAAAAGAAAATGACAAAAAATACAAAGCTTATTTAAAAAAAAAAAACTTGTGTTAACTTTTTAAACTCGTGACCCGAGTCATTAAACTGGAAGCATTTTATCTGAAAAAACCATGAAGCTTAGTTCCCTTTCAATCAAATGTTAAAAAAAAAACATTGAAAAAAACTTAATTATAGAAAAAGATTCCAAACAAAAATAACAATTAAAAGAATAAAAATCAAAATAAATTTGATCCTTAATTAAATGATGAAATTAAAAAAAATTAAGTAAAGAATCTGAAAATCAATTAAAAGAATAAGAATCAAAATTAAAACAAGAAATACAAACAATTTTTTAATTGAAGGATGAGATTGAAAAAAAAATCAATTTAACAAAAGATTAAAAAAAATCCAAATTTTAAAAAATAATATATGAAAAATTAGGATTGGATAATGAAATTGAAAACTAGTAAAAATTCAACTAAAAAACTAAAAAAAGTTAAAAATAAATAAATAATCTAAAGCCTAAATATTAACAACAAAGAGGATGAACATTGTGATAAAGAATTAATCTAGTGATAAAAAAATAAATAATATTTAATCTATAACAAACAAAACCAAATTGCCCTTTACAAAATTGATGATAAAATAGACTGTTGTGTGAAGACTAAAAGGCTATTGTATGCACGTTTTAATTTTTTTATTTCAATGGTAATATTATCATTTTAATATGCTGAAAACAAAAAAAAACAAATAACTTTATTTTATCAGATTAAAATTTTTTAACTCATTTTACTATGTTTAATAAATTACAACAATACATGCATTCCTAATCAATAGACAAATAAGTTAGAAGAAAAGGACCTAGAAACCAAGACATTTGAAATGGCAAAGATGTTATTATACTATTCCAAAAACCAAGGTTTTGGTGGAGAGTACTTGAGTTTTGATAATATAAGAGAAAAGAGGACTCAATTTGTCACATCTAATCCGCAAGACAACGGATAGGCTGTGCCAATGGCCCTTCCCAAGATCGAAACGTCAATCCTCCTGACATCGCAAAACTAGTGCAGTCTACAAGGTTGACAAAAATCGCAAATTACTTGTGCGCAAATACAAATATCATCTTGCATAAGTTCGAGGAGGGACACATTATCAAGCTGGTCTCTCGTAGAAGTCGATGTGGGGGAAGAACCAGGCGTCTTAATAATGGTTCTTCATCTCTCATGCACTAAGCTTGTCCATTTCCCTTCTGAGTGCGTTAGCCCTCACCAAGCTCCCAATGGTATTCACAGCTAACTTCAAATCCTCCAAGGGGTTCCCAGGCACAACCCTCTTGTACAAATAGCTATCAAATGTCATCTTTTGCACGTACTCATCCGCGCACATCTCCACAAAAGCTTCTCTTGCTGGGTTTGATCTATAGAAAACTTTCTGCAACACATCCAACACCTTGTATGTAGGCCAGTATGTCTTGTCCCATTTCTCAAAATATTTCCTCAAGTCACTTTCATCCACCATTCTCTTGCCATTTTCAGAGCCCTCAACTATTGCCTCCGCACACATTCTACCACTTTTGGCTGCGAAGTAGATACCCTCACCAGAGCATTTGGTTACATACCCCGCTGCATCACCCACTAATGCCACTCTCCCTGATAATCTGCGAGGTCGGGGGTGTTCTGGTATTGGGTGTGCTTCCACTCGTATAATCTTACCACCAAGGATCTTGTCCCTGGCTCTGTTTCTCGTGGCTAGTTGAAATTTTTTGATGTCACCTTTGTGTGTCACCGTGCCAGTTCCAACAGCAACATGGTCACATTTGGGGAAGACCCACCCGTAGAAATCTGGTGATACATCATCACCAACATACATCTCAGCTAAATTCTCATAGTACACCATTTTATCACTAGGGATTTTTATTCTCTCCTGTAAATATGAGGGGGGAAAAGATTAAGAAGAATTCAAGAGCATCAACAGAAGAGGATTCATGAGTTCAATACAATAATGTTTGAGCAAAATCCATCTGTGGAAGCATAAACAATGCCCTGTATGTCGGAAGCTTATGTAAACATTTTATCTAAAATGTTTATTTACAGAAACAGTAGAGAGAATATAGTAATAATTCATCCGGGCTATAATAATAATAATAGTAAGATTAGCTATATGGCAAACGAGCATCAAAATTTCAGCTACATTACTACAGTATTCATTGCAGCTATGATAGTAAGATTAGCTATATGGCAAACGAGCATCAAAATTTCAGCTACATTACTGTGTGTGTGTGTGTGTGTGTGTGTGTGTGTGTGTGTGTGTGTGTGTGTGTATTCGTCAATCCACTGATGAAATTCAATATTGTACCATATTATTGTGAGATCGAAGAACTCTCCAATGCAGTTGATCAACAGACAAAAACGAGGGCAAGAACAATGACGATATCTCAGGTACCAGGTTATGTTCAAGATATGATATATATTATTTTTTGAAATACTTCTAACATGCTTCTCGAAGCAAAGTTTTAATCTTAAAATTTTTATAAACTCAATTTACTTTATGCTATTAACTAAACCAAAATCTTAAAATTGAAGTTATTAAATGAAATATCAATATATAATTTATATTATTTTGTACTGTAGGAATGTGAAATCGACATCTTCCACATTTGGATAAAAGTTTTAAACAAAGCCTTCAAGGCAATTCATAACTGGACAGAACATAACTGATCTCATTAAAGCAATGTGTGAAGGAAGATGTTACCAACAGCATATAAATTTAAAGTAGAAATATCAAGTAATTAATTAGAAACATTTAACATTAGCAATTAACTACACCTGAAAAGCAATAGCGTAGTCATAATCACCAGCATCAATGGACTTGGCGACACGCGAATTTGCCCCATCAGCACCAATAACCACATCAACCTCCAAAGTTTTCCTCTCTCCAGTTCCACCTTTCTTCCCATCATACTCAGTATAATGCAAGACATAGGGTGAATTAATATTTTCACTCCCTTTTTTAGGAATGTCCATTTTCAAGAACAAACCATTTATCACTTTAGCCCCGTTCGTTGATGCTCTTTCTCTCAAGTAAGCATCAAGCACCTCACGCCTCACCATGCCAATGTACTCGTGAGGCTTCAAAGTTCGTCCAATATCAACGGCCACATTAGAAGGAGAGATCATCTTCATCTTGGTCACTCTCCGATCTATAATGTCCAGTGGGAGGTCAAACTCACCCACCATGCACAAAGGGATGGCACCACCGCATGGCTTGCAGTTGTCCAGCTTTCGTTCGATGAGGTATGTTTCAATGCCTCCTTTGGCTAATGTTTCTGCAGCAGAACCACCGGCAGGACCGCCGCCGATGGCGG